CAGAGAAACCCAGGGCAGGGGAGGCAGTAAGAGGCAGGTGAGTTGGCTCCTGCCCTGAGGGTCTCACTGCCAGTGGAGGCCAGGCAGTTCTAAGCAGGAACAGACTGGCCTGCCCTAGAGGTCATGTGGCCCCAGAAGAAGCCTGGGGGCATCTGGAGGGGGAAGCAGCTGGGATCCCAGGGAAACAGCCGGATCACAGGGAAGCATCTGGCAGTTCTTTCTCTTCTTTTTTTCTTTTGAATAATTATTCATCTAATTTTATTTATTCATTCATTTATTTTAATTTGACCAGAGAAAGACAGACACACAGAGAAAGAGAGTGAGAAAGCAAGCCACCAGGTCTGGGATTCAAACCGTGGTCAGCCATGTGGGAGTGTCCAAGACCTTAACCACCAGGTCATCTGCTGGCCCGTTCCTTCTCTTCTAAATGCTGAGGCTGGAGAGGAACATGGCAGTTGAAAGGGTCACTCCACAGCTTCCTTGTTTCTGGTACTGCCCTGGTCTGGGCTGGGGCCTTGGCTTGGCCTCCCTCACCCCTGGAGAAGCAAGGCTGAGTTCCTCCCCAGCCTGGTCCTGACCTGAGCACAGGACATTTCCCCCAAAAGTTCTGAACCTGATAGTGATGTCTGGTGTGAAGGAGTCTCTATCCTGAGGTCATCCTGGCCTATGAGGTCAAGTCACAAGGCAGAGCCGGGGAGCTCCCTCATCTCCGTGGGTGACTCCTCTTCCCCCTGTTTCCCCAGAGTGTGATGAGCCTGAGGGAGCCCAGCCAGGTAGGTCACCCTGGCTCTCTGTGCTTACCCTCTCTGGGCTGTGGCCTCTTGGACTGTGATCAGGGGGGCTCTCGGTGGAGGCCAGGTGGGGCCAGCTTAATTGCAGCCCCACTCTGGGGAGCTGGAGCTGGCAGTGCCTGGGAGCCGGAAATATAAAAGGGCTTATGGGAGGCGTGACAGGGTGGGGACTCTGGGGACACACCCAGAGCCCAAAGGGAAAGCAGGTGGTGTGGCTTGTTCATAACAGGCCTGGCTACAAGTGCTGGCTCGGGGGCCTTCTGGGTGGTGGTGTCCCTCCTGGGTGCCCCTCTGATGGGTGAGGTGCATAACAGCTTGGCACCACCAGAGTGAAATTGGTTTGATGAGACTATGGTGGAATACCTGGGAGGCCA